AACGAAGATAGTCTAGATTTTTGCTAGTCGTAAAAAATCGTAGTCGAGGCATTACAATTGAGCCCTTTGAAGCTAAAACGCCATAAAGTCTCGGTCGCAAACGATTTCGGCTTCATTTTATTACAGTTAGCATGTATTTTTGCTGCTCGTAAAAAGAGCAAAAAGTTATGACATTTAAAAGTGATGGGCGATAAATTTGATGCCCCACAATGTTGTTAGACCAATAACTATTGTGTATTAAGGCATAAAGAATGTATTTTCGTTGGTCGAACTTAGTGATAACTAACTGTGTCGTATTTGTGAACAAGATGATGTACCAGTGAAATACATTCTGTGTGATTGTCCAGTTTTGTGAGATCTGAAATTAAAAGCTTTCGGAAAAAAATGTCTGAGTATGTCTTTGGTAATTGTTTAGGCTGGTCTATACATATGCCCAGAGTGAGTGTTAAGGGATTACAAAAAGTACGATAAGTTTTGCTGTTTGTGATACTTGGGTTGGTTTTGTGATACTCGAAAGAAAAAATCTCGGCCGACTTCGAAGACGTCGGCCGCCTTAAGTGTTGTTCGTGATACTTTGGGCTTCTTCCATAAATTTCAAGCAGAGTAGACTTATGCCCGGTTTCTCGTACATTATAATATCGAATAGATATCGAAGCAATAGTTATCGGATCGATACCTTTTGACGGCGTGGCCGGTTTCTCGTACAAAAATGCATGTAGATATCGAACCGATATTGCGCTGTTGATCGATAACTATGGCGATATCGGTCATTTGGGTTTCTGAAAGGGTCGATAGGAGATATCGGACCGATATCGGATCGATAACTATATCGCATGCAACAAGCACCGATATCGACTCGATAAGTGTGATTAATGACAGTGATGTGTGTTAAAAGATTGCAAATTTTGATTAAACTGTTCATCCAATGCTTGTTTCTTTACCATATTTGTAGATATTTTATTTCGTTTGATTTTCTATTACTGATTTTCGTTCCATAACTAATTCCACTAACAATTTTTTATCGAAAGAAGTAAAATTCTTCGTTCGTTTCGACATAGCGCGCGTATTATCAAACTAATCGTTTTCGAAAAAAGGGATAGCCCAAATTTTAACAGATATCTTTTATTGTACGTTAGTATAGTCCTTTGTAAATTATTTACTTATTTAAAAAAGGAAATAATTTAACTTAAATAATTAAGTTTTTAGTTTCTCTTTTTTGTTAATTGTTTTTTTTTACTAATCATTTTTGTTATTATTTGATGATTTTTGTTTGTTAATTTTTATTATTATTATCAATTCGTTATCAATTCCTTGTCTTAGCAACTTTTTATTTTTGTTTATGTACTGTGTGTTTTATTAGTGGATGCTTCGCTGGGCTTGTCCCGTTTGAATCCCAAGTGTAATAAACAAATAAATAAATTATTTTACGAACTATTTGTTCAAAATTTTCACCGCCACCTATCTACGGGAATAAACAAGTAACCGATTTTTTGACAAAATCGTTCGATAACTATTGTATGCAATATCTGTCGATCAGTTCGTACCAGAACACCAACAGCCGATATCGACCTGTCAAAAGATATCGATCCGATAACTATTGTTCCGATATCCATGGTTATCGAACGATTTTGTCAAAAAATCGGTTACTTGTTTATTTCCGCCGATAGGTGCCGGTAAAAATTTTGAACAAACAGTTCGTAAAATTATTTATTTATTTAGTTATTACACTTGGGATGCAAACGGGACAAGCCCAGCGAAGCATCCACTACATTGTTTTGGTAATCCAAAAAAGAGAAACCAAAATTTTAATTATTTAAGTTAAATTATTTCTTTTTTTTAATAATTAAATAATTTAGAAAAGAAAAATAACGTTACTAACGTATAATAAAAGACATCTGTTGAAATTTGGGCTCTTCCTTTTTTCGAAAACGGTTAGTTTGATAATACGTGCGCTATGGAGAAACGATCGAAGAATTTTATTTCTTGCGATAAAAAATTGTTAGTGGAATTAGTTATGGAACGAAAATCAGTAATAGAAAATCAAACGAAATAAAATATCCACAAACATGGTAAAGAAACAAGCATGGGATGAACAGTTTAATCAAAATTCGCAATCTTTTAACACACATCACTGTCATTAATCACACTTATCGAGTCGATATCGGCTTGTTGCATGCGATATAGTTATCGATCCGATATCTCCTATCGATCCTTTCAGAAACCCAAATGACCGATATCGCCATAGTTATCGATCAACAGCGCGATATCGGTTCGATATTGACATGCATTTTCGTACGAGAAACCGGCCATTAGTCTTACGTGTAATATGCTGTTTACTAGATATATAGTTTTGGTGTTTGTAATACTTATAGTCTAGCCAAATTTGAAACTACAAGAAAAGTCCAGAATTACACTTGCCAAAGTCTTCAATTAACAGCATTTACTCTTTTGCAAGTAGTATCTAATATTCTTTTAGCAATGTGTAACTTTCTATTAACAATATCTAGTGTTTTGCACGCAGAACCTCGTCTTCTGCCAACAAAAGAATACGAAACCTATGACGGTTTTGTGCTATTTTCAGGGTTGCTGTTATTGATCCAAATGCACTTTCACGTTGTCTTGCATACATTCAGTATCGTAGAACATCAATTAAGTACTCCGATAAGACACCATGTATATTGGAATACTGCCAGAAAAATGCCAATCATTTATAGTATCTATCTTGTTTTGCCAAACATGAAATTAATTAAATTAAAAGTCTTTGGGGAAAAATGTCTGAATATGTTCTTGATAACTGCTTAAACTTGTCTATATACCCAGAGGGAGTATTAAGAGATTACAAAAAGGGAGAAACATTTATGCCAAATAATAAATTACAAAATTATAATTATTATTCGAGTTAGATGGGGCGCCATATTAGTGCCATCCAAACATGATGCTAAATAGTCGAGATTACATAGAATTTTTGCCAGAATCTATATTATCAACTAGAGTTGACAACTTACAACCCCTACAACTATGAAACTTTTAACCCCTAAAACTCGGCTCAGGAGCTTTTACCACACGTATAAAAAAATACGTAAACCTTATTTTGGTCCATTCTATGGCTGTATATAGAAGAGTATAAGACGAACTTGCTCCTAAAAACCGCTTATATATAATTCTAGCATTGTTTAATTCTCAAAAGTTCAGTTTCTTCACAATAATCACGTGTAACGAATAACCTACTTGGTAATAGTGCTGAAAAACAGTTGGCTATGGTTAGCTGAGAGTATAAGCTAATGACAGCTGGTGTGTTGTATTCACAATTAATGAAGGTAAAGTGTCGAAGTTTTTAAAAGATGTAGGCTTGAATAAAGCACTAAATGAGGAACATTTTGAAGATTATCATGATTATTTTGATGTGCGATCGGGAAATAGTGACAAAATCAAGGGAAGACGATGAATAGACTGAACAGGAGTTGGCCAAGGCCTACTGACAGATTCCTTTCTTTATCAAGTACCAACGTTGCATCCTGCAGATTTCGGTAATGACGACATTCCTTTTGTTGAAGAAAATGTTGTAATAGAAATTGAAGCAAATCAAAATGACCTAGAAATAGTTGATGAAAATGACGAAGGACTCGAAATAAATTGCTTTAGAAGAAGTCAATGATAATTTAGGCAGCTATGCCACTGAAAATGACTGCCAGCTAATTGTAGATTTTTTGGAGAACGGGTGTATAAAGCTAAGTGCGCAACTAAATTCTCATTAAATACCTATTTAGAAATGCGCCTTGAAGCAGCTGAAATCGACCATTACTGGGATCACGTAAACATATTGGATCAAGTAATATTGGGTCAACTGCGATGTTTAAGAAATGATTCTAATCAAACCCAACGTAGTCACAAGAAAAATCTTTCCAGAAAACAAATACAAACTACTTATTTAATCAAAGATCAGCAAGTTTGTAGGGACACTTACATGTTTTGTCACCAAATCAAGACAAAGAGATTAAAACGAATTTTGAAAATGTACAATGACAGTGGATTTGTTGCAAAGGTCAACAATGTCAACAAAATTGCTAAAAATGCTACTTCATTTACTGACAAAAAGTACGTTGTGAATTTCCTGAACAATTATGCTGAGCAACATGCGATTTATCTGCCAGGTGGAAGTAGTACTGTATATAACACCAATCTAAAACTGTTGCTTTCCAGTGATAGCAAGAAAAAAATTACGATATCTACAAACATTTGGCGAGAGAGATGCTCAACCATTGTCATCATGAAATCAAAGTCAGACCTCTGTTCCTTTTTCCAAAAACATTATACTTCAAGGGCTGCTATGGTGGTTGCAAGTGAAGAGAAAATAGCCAATGCAGAAAAAATGATGGCGCACTTAGAACTGGTAAAAAATGAAAGACAGTTTTACCAAAATACAATAAAAACATGAGACAAGTGTCCATTACAGTTTCGATATGGCCCAACAGGTCCACATTCTCAGCAATCCCTTTCAACAAACAACTAATAAACAGGTAAACTACCTCATCCCAGAAAGTTTAAGCTCTACTAAAGGTTCAAACCTTATTGCAAGCCTGTTTCACCATTACTTGGGGGAGAGGATGTAATGTAGGTACATTCATACTGACAATTGTGTCGGTCAAAATAAAAATAATATTTTGCTCGGCTACTTGGCGTGGAGGATGACCTGCAAAGGATACTTGGCCTGTAGAGCACACAAAATTTTTGTGTGATTGGGCATTTGGGCTCGAAGAAGTTCAGAACAATGTGCATTTCTTCTATCCAAGAACTGATTGATTGTGCATTTTAGTCTACGCCATCTTCTGAAGTAAACTCTGCTGTGTCCGTTGGAAATGAAAATGGCGATAAATGGCTGTAAAGGTGTATTGGTGACAGAAAACGAGGCATAAACGATTCTTTTCGCATTGGTCTCTAAACCTATTAACCCCAATTTTAAAACATACCCTAGACTATTTATTTTATTGAACACACGATCATTAAAAAAAAATTACTAAAGTGTATCCAATTTTTCCATAATTACTAATAAAATCAATCGGCGAAATATAACCACCAAAAAATCCAACTCCTTTTAAATTAAAATCATAACCTCCATCTCCATCTTTATTTTCCATTTCGATCCTATTTGCTAGTTCAACTGCAAATTTAGCTCCGTAACTTTGTCCAAAAACGTATAAAGAGGAATTTTTCCATTCCGGTTTTTCTGTAAAAAAGTTCTTAGCAAAAATGATTAAATCGTCGCCGACTTGTGTAATATTCTTTGGCAATTTGGCATTTGCTTTATTAATTTTATAACTAAACCCAACTTCAACGGGATAATCAACAAATAAAACGTTAAATTCTCGAATCCACGTGTCGTTTCTTTTTGTTAATTCAAAACTGTAGGGTCCTATTTCCATGAAATTTCCGTAGCAACTAGCTGCAATACCCGGGCCACCTTGCAACCATATTATTAAAGGTCTTTCTTCCGGTTTCGTTACGTTCGCTGTTGTATAATATAACCAATAAAAAATATTTTTTGATGAATCTATTTCAATAAAACCCCAATCTTGTTTTGTGTTACCAATAAAGTGTATAGATACATCATCTAAAAAATCTATAGCTGACAGCAACAAAAAAATTAATAATTAAACTTTAATTTAGTAAATATGAGTTATTAATAAATTATATTTACGAATCAACGTTTACCTTGTGTATAAAAAAGAATTAATCCAACAGGAATGCACAAAAAAACTACAGAGATCCATCTACTACGCGACATTCTACATCAAAGAATGGTTTATTGAAGAATTACTGTTGTAACATTCAATTAGGATAATTGCAATTTATAAACGTCACGCATCATTAAATCGAGTTTAGCTGCAACGGCATTCGCGAAGTGTGGGTAAATAAAAATAATCACAAAATTAACCTCTGAAATCTTAATGAACTTTATGACCTTAATAAAACCAATGCAAAGAAAAGTGCAAATATCGTTTCGTTCTACTATATTGCAACATTTCTTGGTATATCAAAATTGAAACGAATAACTTAGCATGTAACGATCATATTAAAGATAAACTTTAAAACAATTTTTATAAAACAACTGTATATGCAGTAATTTTTTATTAACATGCGAGGTCTGTAATAAAAAATTGTCGTGTACTTTAAGAAGTATTAGCAAATATTTCAGTGTTTTCAAAAATTACACTCAAACCGATATTTGTTTTATGTTTATTTTATTTTTAATTTATAATATACAATCAAGGTAGCAGGAATTGAAGATAGTCGACTTGCCAAGGTAGCAAATGATATGAAATTGAATCTTTCTTACGTAATATCAGCCAGATAAATAGAGTTCAGTTATGATCATTTAGTTTCATGACTTCCAGATAAAAATGTTGGGTTTCGTTAGGAACGTTGCGTGATGAAATATATGTTAAAAAAGTCAATTCTATCTATTAAGGATAATAACCTCTATATAAGAAATGTTGGGTAAGGTCACTTTTCTTTACCCGGGCCAATGACCTCCACGTAAAATAATGTTTTGTAAAGGTTATGGACGTTGCGTAATGATAAATTGGGATAGGTTGATTATGTACTAACCTTAATGAGTGCTAAGTAAAAAATGTTGGGCGAGATTGTGGAAGTCGCATAATACTACGTAGGTTGGGAAAAATCATTTATAGCGCATTTTCATTATTAGAATTAGTGATTGAGTAACTGGCGAATTTTTAAGCCGAGCTAACTGTACTCAACCAAACTAAGGCCCACTTTTACCATCCTCCTGATAGACTATCTAGAGGATAGTTGCCATGGTTACAGCGGTTTTAAGCGCTCTCATTGGTTAAGAGCTAGATTTATCTATCGGATAAATTTATCAATAGGTAGTAAAAGTGGGCCTAAGTAGTATGGTGTAGAAGATACTAAAAAACTCGAAATGGCTAGAGCTGTACGATAACCATTGATATGTGCTGCTGATATTCTGCTTGGAGAAGTAACTATAGCAATTGAGATAAGAAACAGGCATAAGCACGGAGCTTGTTCGGTTTTCTTAACACTGTAGTAATCGCGTCTCCGGTTATTACAAGCGTGGGCGCATGTTATCTTTAAGATGCCCATTCAATGCATGCAAAAGTATTTACTGATTAGTCCAGAGAGACTGTCTACGTCATCTCTTAGATGACACGCGACTATTGGAGTGTTAAGGGAACTTGCTTTAGACCTTAGAAGAACATTTTAAGACACTAGTAGAGATGGTAACTCCAAGAAATAAGAAATGTGACTCAAAGTTAAAAGATGCTTTAATCTGATATAATAAATTAGAAAATAATTAGAAATCATACTGAATTTCTTGGGGATCATTTGAGTATCGCAACTGCACAGCTGTAACTGAGCGACTTGTTCATGAGGAAGTGACTAATTCGATGGGTTGAGGACTTATGTACATAGATTGTGGCAAAAATAATATAGAAAAATGACTGGGCGAAGAAGCCATTTGTGAACACGAATATTTAGTCAGAATGCCATGATCCACATTGTGCCTTAAGTGGTAATTTATTTAATATCACATGGACTGATTCTGAAACATCCATAGTTAGGTTCTCTTAGATAGTAGGGAGTTCTGTAATGTTCTTATACAACTGTTGTATATTTTGACACTGGAATATTTTGCATTCTTTAACTGAAGAAGCAATGTGTCGACTTCGAAAATGACTGCAATTTCCTTAATTGCGATGCTGCTTGTTGATTTTCAAACATATTTTTTGTTTCTCCACCAAGTTGTGGAAGTGAATACTTCAACTACAAATGTTCAAACATTGTTGTTTGATTCATCATTTGCTATTATTGGACCTAAACTATTGTTTTGCATATTAATGTTAGCAACAAAGGATATGAATTAGACTGTGGTACTTTTCAACACTGCTCACTTTCGAACTTTTTGAAAATGAAATTCTTCCTAACGGATATTAATTCGTTGCTTATAAAAAAATCCTCTTAAAACCTTATGACATGAGATGTCTTTCTACACATGATAACGCTTTTGGGATTTTAGTCAGCAGATTTCTTGTATTTAATAAAAAAGTAAGTTTAAATGTATTTACATCATTTTGACATAGTGGGAGTTGTTTGAACCAACGATCTGGCAACGACGATCACTTCGCTTCTTACAAACATTGTACAAACGAGGTTGGAGGGGGTCGGGGGTTACTGTATTTGTTTGAGACAAACAAACGTGTATAGAAGCATAGCGATGGTCTATCTAGAGAGAAGCAAAGCGACCGTCGTTGCTAGATCGTTGGTTTGAATGGAGTTTGTTGTTCGCTTAAATTCATGTTAAAGAAAATTCATACACAATTCTTGTGGAATAATGTTTTTGCGATCATTAATTGTGTGAACAAGAGTGTGGAAACCAAACTCGAAACATTGCCGAAATAATGACATTTTCATAAGTTTTTGATAATAACTTTACTGGAACGAGGGTGAGTTAGGTCTGTATTTTTAGTAGTTTACAACAATAACACTGATTGTTTTGTTACTAGAAAAATTCGCGGTATGCCCGGTTCATATTATTCCAATAGTATTGAGTCCAGTGATCGAAACCAGTGCTGGAATGCCACTGGAATAATTTCAACCAGCATTGGAATGCACTAGAAAACACTCATTCCAGTGAGTAAACCAGTCCAGTGACTGGATTCAAGGGTCTACTTTTTCACTTCAGCCTCCAGCTCGCCCATTCCAGCGCCACCAATCCAGTGCTGGACACATTGAACATCAAACACGAATTGTTGTGGTTTCATAGTCGATAGATGGTTGAGGCTTCTGTAACTATTTCCAGTAGATAAAAAGGAAAGAGTGACTTCTAGCTTTATTCAGATGCTAAGGTTCAATTAGATCCATTCTAGTTTTATGTTTGCAAGTATAGGATCTTTGAATAATGTATCGCTACATTGAATATTACTAAATTAATGATAACAACTCCTTAAAATTTTCTGCCATCATTCACATTGCCAGCCTGTAATCAGAGGGATCTTCTGACTTCAGCTGTGACAAAAGCATCGAACCTTCCTTGTATTTCTTTCACTTATCCAATTTCTCACCCAAATCAAATCCATTTTTCTTCTTTTAGTTCTTCCACTACATCAGTTACTTCTTCTAACAGTAGTAATTGAACAATTTTTGAACTCCTTAATCATTGTTATTGTAGTGTTACCACTTCAACAGCTTTTGAATGACTGGAATAATAGGCTTGTTTTAATTCAAGAGTTTTGCAGTTCCAAACAGTTCTGAACCTTTCTGAGCATACCTATTGAATATTAGATGTATGCATGGAAAGTGTGTTCAGAACTACAGAACACTTGAACCAAAACAGGTCTAATGTAAACGATATTTAGTCCAGCACTGAACTGGATTGACTCGCTGGATTACTGGACTGAAACAATATCAACATATGATCCACTTCAGCACTGGACTGGATTGACTCGCTGGAGTCAATTAGGAGGCATTACAGTATAATATCCTTTTTAAACTAAATTTTCATAACTTTTACGGTTAATTTCACATATTCGTTCTGATACCATCTTTTGTGGAATAGCGGAACTAAGTACACCGATTTCTTTTTGCGTGATATATTCCATTCAGTGTCTATTTATTATTTATAATATTTATACTGACTATATCATTTTTTTTGAAAGTATGCATTGTATACATTTAATTGTATCAAATTTTAATTCAAAACTGAAGTATACTTCTCCAATTAACCCTCCTTATATATTATTTCTCCCCAGATTTGTTAGATGGCGACTAACGTATTTATTTCGAGTTCGAGAAATGTTTTAAGTCCGGTTAACGCTTGCATTAAATATCAGATAACAGGGTAACAGAAAATTGAAAAGTAAAACTGAGAGGAAGGATTCATGAAAACGCGTAAAAAAATTAAGAAAAAAAACTTAAAAATAAACGTTGATTAAAGATGAAGCCAAGGTTAATTTACTTTCACAAAAAATTTGTAATTATCATAATCATTTCAGTTTCAATCACTACATTCCTTTTTTATGTGGTTGATTTTTCTGGAAACCCAGCCATTTATTTAATTATGGAAAATAAGTCAAATTGAAATAGACGAGCCGTTCGTAAGTTGTGGTGTTGTTAGAATCCAATTATCTGTGCAATTTTCTCAGAAAGTGTGTTGAGCGAATAAATTGAAAAGGAGCAAAATTCCATCAGTTGAAAATTATACTTAAGTGTAATTATTTATAATTATCATACCTACACAGAAATATTTTAGATGTTGTAGCGTTTTATTTTAGTAAGAATGTTGTGTACCACGAAAATATTTAAATCTAATAGAATATTACACTAATTCATATAAATATATTTTTACAGCATTGGAAAAAGAATAAAGATACCTTGATCGTGTGTCGTAAATATACGTTGGTTGTCGTTTCAATTTGTGGCTTTTATAGCAACAGATTCTTATTAAATAAGAACTTGACTATGCATACACATGAATACATATACACATAGATGTATCAAAATCACGAGGTGGTCTTTTTACACGATTACTTTCTCTTTATATACTTGTAAGAAAGTTTATGGTTATCCACATGCTACTACAACACTTACTCCATCTTAAGATACTCTCCGCAGTTGCAGCTGCTGAAATGTTCTGAACTCCTCTCTATTGTACCAGTAGCAGGGTACATCTTTTCATATTCGTCAAGTTGATTGGTGGCGTCCGAAAAGGGTCTCATACCTTACATCGCATAACACATAAATACATAAGTCTATTACACAGTACTAATTGTAAGTGGTTTGCGAAAATGACTAATCAGAAGGCTGTACCTACCTATTCTCAAATGTTCACTCTGTGCATAGTACCATCTAAAAATAA